AAAAAAACAAGTTTTTGAATATTTTATTGTTTAAGTGTTATTGTAGAAATATAGCACAAATAGCACAAATGGTGTAAAATAACGCAAAAATGCGTACCAATTAGGTATTTTGCGTAAGTTTCGAGAGAAAAATGCTACATATATATCGCTAAGTCGCGTTTTTATAAAAAAAAAAAAGAACTACTGTAGCACGCTATTTAAAAACAATGATTTTGACAACAGGAAATGAAGTGGGGGGAAACGTATAAGATTTTGAGTAGAGAGTGGCGAAAATGCCATTTCACAAGCTAAAATAGCTATGGGGTTCTTGTTTACAAAATATATCATTCACATTTAATTAATTCTCAATTTTAATTCAACCTGAGTATCCTTAATATTATTCATATAATTAAATAATACAAGTCAATCATTTTTTACATATCAACTTTAGTTCACTATTCATCCACCAATAACATAATTTTAATTAATTAACAATCACTGCACATAATTTATCTCATACTTTTACATCAAATCAACTTTAATTACTTTATTTTAAATATTATTATGAAATAGATTCAAAATCCCACTAACTACCCATTAATTATAACACCCTTTTTTTTGTAAAAAAAAAATAACATTAGTTAATAAAAAAAACCAATTTTAAGCCAATTAATTTGTGAATAAATACCTCCTACATTTCTTTTTTTTTTTTTCTCTACAACATGGCCATTCTTAATCTTTCTTTTTTTTTGGTACAGGAATCTTCCGGTTTTCCGATTCACAGGGGAACCGACTAATCCGGAATCGAACCGGGTAGGACCACAAGGGCGGCAAAGCTCTCCCTCAATAGTTTTAACATTGTTGCATTCCCAGAGCTCGAACACGAGACCACTGGTTAAGCTGGAAGAGACCCAAGCCATCTCATCCAAGCGCTGTTAGTTCATTTTTAATGTTTCCAATATCACATGATTGGTATTACCATAAACAAATATTCCACAGATCAAAAAGCAAATGAGCACCAACACAAACCGACGCCGTCCAAGAGGAAAAAATAAAAGCAAATGAACACAAGAAGCTTCCCCCCGCCTATTATATAAATCTCCCACTCTTCTTCAACCACTTGTTCATTCATACGAGTATTCCTCCTCGATCTCTTTTAGTATCCTTAATATTGCCAAAAACCCAAATTAATATCCATATCATTGTTATTTTTACTATATGAATACATCAGTTAGTGGGGTTGTAGGCGGAGCCGCTGTAGGAGCCGCTTTGGAACTGCTGTTGATATTATTGGTCATTCCCGTTACCCGGAAGCTGGCTCGTTTCAGCTCGGACCTCAACCGCTTGAGATTAACTCTCCGCCTCATCCAACCCATCCTCCTCGAACATGATGAGTTGGTCACTCGAGCGGAGAATATGGTGCATATGTGTTCCCAGTTGAGATGGTGGAGATTTTTTATGAGACTGTACTACTCAGTGAAGTTGATCCAGCTGGAAGCTGAGCTGCTTGGCATCTTGCAGGTGAATGTGGTGGCCCTTCTTTTCCGGGAGAGTGTTAGGGCTTCGGCTATGGTGAGTCAGTTGGAGGAGAAGGTGGATGAAGCTATCGGGATAATCAAATTGTATGCAGTTGCCAATGATCGGAATATTGTTTGTGGTTGCGGCTTATCCGTGTCTCCCGATTCTGCTTAGACCCTTGGATTTAATTATGTTCTCATCATCACAACTTGTATTATTATTATTATTATTATTATTATTATTATTATTATTATTATTATTATTGATGTTGTTGTTGTTATTATTATTGTCATCATTTGTGTCGTCATACATAATGCGTCGTTCGTCTTAAAGTAAATCATATATTGTAGTAACTAAATAAGTGACAGGAGCTCTATGTACTTTATATATTAAAGTAAATCATATAGTAACTAAATTAGCAATTTCACCCGTAACTTTTTTGACTCATGTTCAAGCGTGCTTGTAAATTAATATTAAACTAATACAACGTCCGTGTATTACATAGGTGTTTGTTAATTTTTTCTTAAAATCTAAAATTAATGAGAAAAAATAGTTGAAAATTTAAATACCTTTTATAAATATATATATATATATTATTATATATTTAGAATGACACTTTTTATTTGTGCAACTTACATGTGTTATATTATAATAATTTTTTTAACTTACCAAAAAAAATAATTTTTTTAACCTACAACATATAACTACATTAAGCATAAATATATCAATTGAGAAATAATTTTATTTTACTAATGAATTTTAATAAAAATTATAATTTTTATTATTATAAATATAAATATAATTTATTTATTTCATATATACTGTTGACGAGCTTTTTCGGTCAACGGTTAAAATTGTAAATATTGAAAGTACAAGATTAGAAACAAAGGAAAGATTTGGTTTAATTACAATTTTATTAAACGATCACGAGGTCGGCCTGTCGTACGAGGTCGACACTTGTGATATACTTACAAACTTTACAGTGTATTTCTTACAGTTTTAGAGAGAGAAAGTAGAGAGAAGACAGAGTTAGTTGGGATTCAACAACCCAAAATAAATGAAATGAGCTGCTATTAATAGTGGTCTTAAATGAGGTACTATTCAGCTACTGTTCATCGGTCTTGTCGCCCAGTGGTTTTGCAGAGCAGTTCGGCGTCGTCCTGACGTCCATTTAATGCGATTTGAGGTTTCTTCAATTATTGTCTATCAGGCATTTAATGCGAGCATGGGAGAGCATTTAATGCTGGCAGGCTTTCTTGACTAGGCTTGCTTATAGGGTGCTAGGCTACAACAACCGTCCCATCATCCAATGATGACCTTCCAAGTGGGAATATTTTAATGTGCGCCGAGTCCCACCCTTTCCTAGGTGGCCACCCCGGGTCTCCAGGTCGTCACTTTTCTCGAACGCGCTCATGAGACAGCCGGGGACCTACTTTCAGCCCGACACTCACTCAGGTCGGCTCGTACACGTACTGGGCTGGGTGCCGGTCTCGAGAAACATTCCTACGGTGGTCCTGAGTACTTCATTTTTTGGTTCAGTTCGGCACTCACGTGCCTGTTTGGGTCCTCAGCCCGGATCTTGAGGGGCTAAGCCTTCTCGATTCGTTCTGGGCTAACTCGGATATCAACATACAGACCCCCGAGCTTGGAGAGAGGTTTCTCAACATCTTGTCCGAGGTCGTTACACTGATACCCAACCCGAGTTTTCCAGATTTCATCTCGGCGCTTCCGCTTCTCTTGGAGTTGAATTTGTGATTCCTTCGATGCATTGATGACGCGAGGTGAGGCGACGTACCCATTAATGCAATGTGGCCGTTGTAATTCTTGTCGGCCCTGAAAAGTCGTGCCGTTTTAGAGCCTTTACACGTGCCTCGATCCAATTTGCCCACGTGGCGCATCACGTCACTTCAGTAGGAGGGGCGGTTACTCGGTCGCGTGATATCCACGCGCCCATTCGTGAACCGTCGGATGGCTTCGATCGTGGTCATTCGATTCGAACAGTTACTTTTATTAAATTTTGAAATTCAAAAGTCGCCACGTGGCATGACTGGACTAGCCATTCTATATATAGAGGTCGTCGTCTTCCTCGAGAAGTTTTTACCTTCTCTGAAATTTTGAGCGAATCCCAGAGCAAAACAACAAGGAAATTTTCAGATCTTCGCGGAGCTTTCTGCAAGTCCGCGCCCAAGGCATTTTTCTCGATAATTATCTTGTTTCATCCCTTTTTTTTTTCTTTCTGATATGTCGAGTTCTTAGAATCTCGCGGCGAACTTTCCCGGCGAAGGCGAAAGACAGTCGGCGGAGGAGACCGATGATATTGGGGTATACTCTCCACCTAACGACGAAGGCGACGCAGCCCCTTAGCGTCACGCCGATCTCGGCCGTTCGGGTGACTAGGCCATCGACGGC